TTTAGGGTTTAGGGTTTAGGGTTTAGGGTTTAGGGTTTAGGGTTTAGGGTTTAGGGGTTAGGGGTTAGGGTTTAGGGGTTAGGTTAGGGTTTAGGGTTGAGGGCTGTAGCGCTTTATAGGGTTTAGGCTTAGAGGCTTAAGGGTTGTAGGGTTCGAAAGGGTTTCCGGTTCTGGGCTCTAGGATTTAAGGTTTTGGGCTTTAGTGCTTAGGGCGCATGCTAAGAGGGTTTGGGTTCAGGGTTTGAGGGTTTGAGATTGAGCGTTGGCGATTTGACGGATGCAGGGTTAAAGGTTATGGGGATGAGGGGGGAGTATGTTAGCATAGAGACAGGTTTCGGTCCACCTACAAGTAGACTTTCAGCACCCTACAACCTAAACCCTTGTTTGAGGTTGAGTTTGCGGAAACCCTAAACCCTAATTAAACCCTAAACTTCCCCCGTGCGAGCGCGGGGCGTCCCAAGAGGCGACAGGCAGAGTTTGACGCGACCACCTCCAGCGAACCCTTGAGTTATAGGGTCCTTGAGGGAGGGTTTACGGTTTAGGGTTTAGGGTTTAGGGTTTAGGGTTCAGGGTTCAGGGTTTAGGGTGTAGGGTTTAGGGTGTAGGGTTTAGGGTTCATGGGGAATAGGTACCTAGGGAACCTTAGGGAAGCTTAGGAATGGCTTCTGGTTTAGGGTTCAGGGTTGTGTAGGTCTTAGGGTTCAGGGCTTAGAGGGCTTCTAGCGCAACTGAGGGCCCAAAACCCCAGATCATAGGCCCTTGGGGCTTGAAAAGCCACACCGGGCTCTTCTTGAGGAACTCAAATTGGGGTTTAGGGGTTTAGGGTTTAGGGTTTAGGGTTTAGGGTTTAGGGTTTAGGGTTTAGGGTTTAGGGAACTGGGCTACCATTCAGAAGGGCACTAGACGTTGTAGTATATGTATCCCTGGTAAGATGGCTTTTACAGCTCCTGAGCAAGAACCCCGTAAGCCTCCAGCAGCATATGATCAACTCTGACGATGGGGGTTTAGGGTTCAGGGTTTAGGGCTTAAGGTTTTTGTACCCTCAACTACGAGGAATTCAGTACAACAGAAACCCAGCAAGCCCATTTATCATTCTCCCAAATCCCTGTCGTCGGGGATTCTTGCAGAACTGACTAACTGGCCTTAAACCCTAAACCCTAACCCTAAACGTTCAAAAACAAGCCTCTTCGCACTGCACTTCGCACTATCATTGCAATTTGGGATGTTCCCCCTTATACTAACAGCTCCTTAATAGGGATGATAATAGGGGGGTACTATTTATAGTCCCTATTAGGGACTGCTAGTATAAGGGGGTAGCATCCCAAATTACAGTCCTCTCAAAACCGCAGAGGCTCAACAGCCCTCCACCCCACCTTGAGCAAAGCTGAGACCCCCGGTGTACCACACTTCCTGCGGGTTTAGGCTTTAGGGTTTGGGGTTTAGGTTGAGGTTTAGGCTTTAGGGTTTAGGGTTTAGGGTTTAGGGTTTAGGGTTTAGAGTTTAGGGCTTAGGGCTTAGGGCTTAGGGTTTAGGATTTAGAGTTTAGGGTTTAGGGTTTAGGGTTTAGGGTTTCGGGTTTAGGGTTTAGGGTTTTTGGTTTAGGGTTTAGGGTTTAGGGTTGAGGGTTGAGGGTTTAGGGTTTAGGGTTTAGGTTAGGGTTTAGGATTTAGGGTTTAGGGTTTAGGGTTTAGGGCCAGGGTTTAGGGTTTAGGGTTTAGGGTTTGGGGTTTGGGGTTTAGGGTTTAGGGTTTAGGGTTTAGGGTTTAGGGTTTAGGGTGTCTTGGGCTGCAGCGTGATGGTGCTGTTTTCTGGGTTTAGGGGACCCGAGAACGCCGCGAATACAGGAGACTGCACACCCCGAAAGAAGTAAGTAGAGAAAGAAAGACAGAAAGAAAGAAAGAACAACAGAAAGTAAACGAACAAGAGAGAGCGAGAGAAGGGGGGATCTCGAGCTCAGGGTTCTGGCTGTAGTTGTTTCATCTCTGATCATAGGTCTCAGAAAATGCGAGCGCAGTCTCGAAACCCTGCATCCTTGACCCTTCAACGCTAAGGCGCAGGTTTTGGGGTTTCGGGAGACCCTATCCAGCCAGGTGGCCCTGCCTCACACTCTAAACTACTACTTTGCGGGAAATCCTCTCGAGTGGCTCTGGTGTTCCGGTAGGGCAGTCTTTTGTAGGGGCCATTTCGGTGCACAGTGTCACTGTGACGCTTGGCTCTTCAGGAGACGGCTACATGCTGTATGCTGTGCGCGACCTCTCTACGCCGGGGCTTCAGGTTAGGAAGCTTAGGGTTTAGGGCTTTAAGGAGGGTTCCTGTTGGCCTTGGACCCTAACCCTAAACCCTAAGCCCTAAACCCCAAAACCCTAAACCTTAAACCCTAAACCCTAAACCCTAAACCCTAAACCCTACACTATTCTTAGCGCCCCTAAGCCTAAACCCGCTAAACCCAAAACCCTCGAACCCCCCGCAAACCCTAAACCCGAAACCCTAAACCCTAAACCCTAAACCCTAAACCCTAAACCCTAAACCCTAAACCCTAAACCCTAAACCCTAAACCCTAAACCAACCCCGGTCCGTGCCCACAGCACGGAAGGTGACGCTGCCATCCAGGGGCGGGACCACGTCCACGAAGTTGTACTCCTTCAATGTTTGGGGTTTAGGGTTTAGGGTCTAGTTTTAGGGTTTAGGGTTCAGGGTTCAGGGTTTAGGGTTTAGGGTTTAGGGTTTAGGCTTTAGGGTCTAGGGTTTAGGGTTTTAGGCTTTAGGGTCTAGGGTTTAGGGTTTAAGGTCTAGGGTTTAGGGTTTAGGGTTCAAGGCCACAAAGTTGTACTCCTCCAGGGGGTTTAATATCAGGGTATGTATAATGAGAGTAGGGTCTGGGGGTTATTGTAGTATATTTATAAAGGGACCATAAGGGAATACTAATAGTAAGTTAGTAACTATTCCGAACTCCTTCAGGGGAGTTTGGGAGTTTGGGGGTTTAGGGACTAATTAGGGCTTTGGGGCTTTGGGGTTTGATTCAGGGTTGTGCTCAGTTAAACCCTGAACCCGAAACCCTAAACCCCGACCCAAAACGCCCTAAACCCTAAACCCTAAACCCTAAACATCGCTCTGGATAGAACGAAGGTCTTGCAGAACTTGATTTAGGGTTTAGGCTTCGTGGCGGGCGTGATGCCTGATCCCGAGGAGCTGTGACTCCCCTGTAGGGTTTAGGGTTTAGGGCTTAGGGTTTAGGGTTTAGGGTTTGGGGTTTAGGGTTTAGGGTTTAGGGTTTAGGGTTTAGGGTTTAGGGTTTAGGGTTTAGGGTTAGGTTTAGGGTTTAGGGTTTAGGGTTTAGGGTTTAGGGTTTAGGGTTTAGGGTTTAGGGTTTAGGGTTTAGGGTTTAGGGTTTAGGGTTTAGGGTTTAGGGTTCCATGAGATGTGAGAGACTAACTTGCTGAGAATGAAGGCAAATCTCTAAGAGAAATTGCAAGAGTAGCCCCACTCCTCCATTCCCTGCACCCCCAACTCCGCTCCCTAAACGCCCTAAACCCTAAACCCTAAACCCTAAACCCGAAACCTAAGTAAATCCCAACAAAACCCTGGACCCCGAAACCCTAAACCCAAAATCCCGCATCAAAAAAGACAACAAACCAAACCCCAAAACCCAAACGCCAAAACCCCACAGCCCCGAACCCTAACCCCCATAACCCCTCCTGATAACCCTAAACCCTAAACCCTATAGACCGCAACCCCAAACCCTAGACCGTAAACCCTAAACCTTGAACCCTAAACCCTAGGCCCTAAACCCTACACCCTAAACGAAAAGGCATCCTCGATCAGGCAGTGGCCCGCGGGCGCGCCGGGGGTCTGCAGATTCGGCCTGGACATGGAGTTGAAAATGTTTAGGGTTTAGGGTTTAGGGTTTAGGGTTTGGGGTTTAGGGTTTAGGGTTCAGGGTTTGGGGATGAGGGGTACTGGGGGTTTTGGGGATTAGGGGTTTAGGGGTTAGGGTCTGGTTCGGGGTCTTGTCTCAGGTTTGGGGCTCTACAGTCTTGGGGGCTTAGCTGCTTAGAGCTCTTCAGACTTCGAGGGTCGAGGGCTTCAAGGGTTCGAGGACCTTTTCGGTCCTTGTGTGTACGATGTGGTGGGTGCCATCAACTAGCGGAACTAGCGTCCCTTCTTGTGCATCCGCTGTGAGAGGGACCCCCTCAAGAAAAGCGAACATATGTTAGAGAACTCGCCGAGGATTCATGCAGGGACTGCTGCAATGGTAGGGCCCCTGCTTGAGGGACGGTATATCCGGCTATGCAAGGCGCCAACCCGAAACCCTGCACCCTAAACCCTAACCCTCAACCCCTAACCCTAAACCCCTAACCCTAAGCCTTAAACCCTAAACCCAAAAACCCTAAACCCTATACCCACATACAAGGGGTCGGCCCTCACACTCTTGTGTGTCTGGGCTTCGGGGTTTTAAGTTTAGAGTCTTGGGTTTGGGGTTTGGGGTCTTTTTAGAGAGGCCTTGCGCGCGTCGTCGCGCGCTTTGGCGCCAGGGTTTGGGGTTTAGAGTTTGGGAGTTTAGGGTTTGGGCTCAAGGTCGTTCAGGGTGCCGGGTAAGAGGTGTAGAGTTTCGAGATTGGGGTTAAGTTTAAGGTAGTTCGGCTTTGCCTACCCAAACCCCAATGCCCAAAGCCAAATCCCTGAACCCTAAACCCTAAACCCAACCCCTGAACCCTAAGCCCTCTTGAAGCGCTCCAAGGTACTTCACGACGCGCAACCTGGCGACGTTGTCCGTCATGTTCCTTGGTTGAGAGCTTAGGTGTTGAGGTTACCCGGGTTCAGGGTTTAGGGTCTAGGGTTTAGGGTTTAGGGTTTAGGGTTCAGGGTTCAGGGTTTAGGGTTTAGGCTTGAGGGTTTAGGGGTTGAGGGAGTTTAGGGTTTCGGGATCAGGGTTCAGGGTTGAGGGTTTACAGCTTCCTGTTGTGGGACGGGACGACAGGCAGTTTGTCAGAGGGTCGAGACTAACTTCCATACACTGTCCTCACGGTGGGTTTGAGGGGGGTGGGGTACCATATATACAAATAGATTTACAAGTATATCTAAGCCTCCACAGGTTTGAAACCATATCTCTTGACCGCAAGTAAGCCAAGCAATGCCTAAAGCCTTGAACTTTGAAGTTTGAAGCACTAAACCATAAACCCTGAACCCTGAACCTTGAAGCCCGAAGACCTTGACCCACACCCAACAACGAAAGCCTCATCGACTTTCAGACAGATTACACCCTTCAAAGCCAGGGCACTTATCTGTTTGAATTCGCCAGGATGTGTAGTTCGTCCCGGCATACAGGCAGGCACCTTCACGGATGGGTTTGAGGGTTGCTCTAAACACTAAACCCTAAACCCCAAGTACAGGGCTTGCCAGGAGTAACCCAGGCCCATGAAACCATGTGGAGATAATGCGGCTTATGTTCATGGGGGTTCTTTGTCACAGGGGGGTTAACCCTAGAGGGGTTCCCACTTTCTAGATTTGCTGGGGATCTGGATTTCGGCTAACCCCTCACGCAGGAGATGCCACGTGTAACATGGTGCAACCACGAGCACACCCAACACACACACACACACACACACACACACACACACACACACACACACACACATGCTGCTTGCCCGTGCGTAACCTAAACCCTAAACGGGGCCGGCCCTCTCCTCCCCAAACAGCTCCCCCAGAGGTCTAGAACTACAGTTGCGAGGGTAAGGTTTGGGCTTGGGGTTATTGAGGAGTTTGGGGTTTTGGGGTTTAGGGTTCAGGGCTTACGGTTTAGGGTTTAGGGCTTAGGGTTTAGGGTTTAGGGTTTGGGGTGTAGGGTTTAGGGTTGAAACAGAACCCGCAACACTTTGTAAGGTTCGGGCTTCCAAGGTGGATGGTTAAACCCTATGCTCCCTCATTACTCCCTAGGAATCTCCTACAACGCGAACCCCCTTTCTAGCGGTAGTGGTTTAGGTTTTAGGTTTAGGGTTTAGGGTTTAGAGTTCAGGGTTTAGGGTTCAGGGTTTAGGGTTTAGGATTTAGGGTTTCGGGTTTAGGGTTTAGGGTTTCGGGTTTAGGGTTTGGGGTTGAGGGTTTGGGGTTTAGGGTTTAGGGTTTGGGGTTTAGGTAGTTCCCCAGAGAGCCCGACACCCCTTAATGAAAGAACATGCCTCATGTTCTAAAAGGGATCCTTAGTATGATTTCAGGTATATTCCTTATTTAAGGAGTATTGGGCTCTCTAGTTCCATGACATCTGATTCTGGGCCCTTTAAAAAAAAACACCCTTACATACCCTTTATGTACCCGCAAAGAAGGGCCCAGACTTCAGGAGCCTTGAAAGAAGGTAAATGCCTCCCTTAAGAACCTTATGTAATGGGGGGGGGGGGGGGGGGGGCTTCCGAAAATTTGGGGGAGGGGGAGCTTTGTTAGGGTGCTTCTATGGAAAGGATTTGTGTTTTTTCGGTGTGTACTGGGGCACCCCTATCTTGGGACACGCCGACGTAGAACTTAGCGGGCATAAGGATGTAGAGGCAGTTGACGGCAGCGAAGAATGTTCTCGACAGGTGCGTTCCGGTCTCACACGAAACCTAAACCCGAAAACCCTGCAACCCTGAAACCCTGAAACGCCCTAACCCCGAAACCCGAAACCCTAAACCCGAAACCCTGTTCCAGGTCAAGGGGCCGGTGAAGAGGCCCGGAGGGCTCTGATCCAGTGGCGGGAACCACTCAAGACCGGTGTACCTGGGCATCTTCTGGCTGGTTCTTAGGTTAGGGCTTAGGGTTCAGGGTTTTGGGCTTAGGGTTTAGGGAATGAGGGAATGAGGTACCCGGTACCCTGTCTCATCCCTTAAAGGGCATTTAAAAAAAAGGGGCCGAATTCTCTCATTCCCTACTCAGAACCAGGGCGGCATCTTCTGGACTTCTGAGCCATTGTGGGTTTAGGGTTTAGGGTTTAGGGTTTAGGGTTTAGGTTTAGGGTTTAGGGTTTAGGGTTTAGGGTTTAGGGTTTAGGGTTTAGGGTTTAGGGTTTAGGGTTTAGGGTTTAGGGTTTAGGGTTTAGGGTTGTCCTAACAGTCCTTAGTCGGGATGATAGTAGGGGGCGTGATAAGCCCTTGTCAGGACTCTTCGTAAAAGGGGGAACATCCCAAGAGCTGTTTATCAAAGAGCTCAAAGGTTTGGAGTTTAGGGTTTTAGGGTTTAGGGTTTTAAGGGGTGGGGCTCTTAGAACCCCCCCCCCCTCAAAAAAAAAAAAAAAAAAAAACTCTCAATCTGCATCGTCTGGTTGAGCGTCACTTGGTGCTTTTGGGGGGTCTGTGCTATGGCATATTCCGATGAGGGTCGAGGATTTCGGGCCTAGGTCTTAAACCCTAAACCCTAAACCCTACAAACGATGGTTGAGCAAACTGAAACCCTCAAGCAGACACAGACTCAGAGCCCCAAAGCCTAAACCCCGGCCTCCTAAGGCCAAGCTAGACCCCCTAAGCGTTCGGGTTTAGGGTTAAGGTTTAAGGGTTTAGGGTTTAGGGTTTAGGGTTTAGGGTTTAGGGTTCACACGGATACCTAAACACCAAGCGCCCTAAACTCTGAACACCCTGAACACCCTAGACATGGATCATCTTCAGAATCGCAAGTTCAGAAGCTCACTCGGGGTCTCGCTGCTTGTATGTAGGGGTTCAACAAGGTTGGGCTTCGGGTTTAGGGTTTAGGGCTTTAGGGTTTAGGGTTTAGGGTGTAGGGTCTAGGGTCTAGGGTTTAGGACTGTCCTGAACCCGCAACCCAAGATTTTTCGGAACCTTGGCAACTCCTGCGTACCAGGCCCTAAACCCTAAAACCTACACCCTAAACCCTAAACCCTAAACCCTACCCAGGCGCTGGATGTCCACGACATCTTCATTGGAGCTTACCTGGTCGCTCAGCAAAAGCCCACAGGGGGGTTTACGATATTAGGGGGTACCTGATTGGGGTCCTTATCATAAAGGAATCCTACTATCTGGGGGAGGCTCCCCTGTTTTCGTAAACCGGCACATAGGTTTCCCACTCGATCGCTTTACCTCTGACACAAGAGGGAATCAGCCTAAACCCTAAACCCTAAACCGAGATGGGCCGGGGATGAGGGCAGTGTAGCCCCAACATGGTAATTCCTAAAGCCCTAAACCCTAAACCCTAAAACCTAAACCCTAAACCCTAAACCTTCAAAGCCGCGACCAGAACTAGCTACAACCAGGGATCCCAAGGAAAGATCCGCCAAAAAAGGGCCAAACCGGACTTGCACAGCCTCAGTTGGCCCCAATATAACCCTGAATGGCCCCTCATTCCCCTAAACCCTAAACCCTAAACCCTAAACCCTAAACCCTAAACCCTAAACCCTGAATGGCCCCTCATTCTGGAGCCTTCGACGCGCCGAAGTGTAGAGTTCTTAGCCCAACCGACCCTAGACCCTAAATATGAAAGACTCGAAACCCTACATAGCCCTAAATCCTAAGACCCTAAACAACTGAAAAACCCTAAGCCCTAGATAAACCGTCCTCACCAAACACAACTAAATTGAATCTAAACCCTAAACCCTAAACCCTAAACCCTACACCCTACACCCTAAACCCTAAACCCTAAACCCTTACAGCAGGCCTGGAGGTGCCGAGGGAACGAAGCATTCGTGTAGAGGCGCGCTTCCTTCATCGGAGTTTAGGGTTTAAGGGTTAAGGGTTTAGGGTTTAGGGTTTAGGGTTTAGGGTTTAGGGTTTAGGGCTTAGGGCTTAGGGCTTAGGGCTTAGGGCTTAGGGCTTAGGGTTTGGGACTTAGGGTTCAGGGGTTCAGAGGTTAGGGTTTAGGGTTTAGGGTTTGGGGTTTCGGGTTTAGGGTTTAGGGCTTAGGGCTTAGGGCTTAGGGCTTAGGGCTTAGGGCTTAGGGTTTAGGGTTTAGGGTTGGAGGAAGGATGCTGTGGGGCTATTCAGGGATAGGGACTCTTACGGCCACTCCAAATTGTTGGATCAAAGTTTGGGCAGGGCTTGGGGGGTTTTTTTTGGGGTTTAGGGGCTTATCACACCATTTACGCCCTAAGCCCTGTCATTGGGTTTCAGGATGAAAGGGCGTAGGGGTTCCACCCCCACTCAAACGGTTTAGGGTTGAGGGTTTAGGGTTGAGGGTTAGGGTTTAGGGCTTAGGGCTTAGGGCTTAGGGTTTAGGGTTTGGGGTTTAAGGTTTAGGGTTTAGGGTTTAGGGAACTACCTAAACAGGGGATGCCCTCAACCACCTCATTCCGGCGCCGGAGGTCCTTCTGGAAGTCGTCCACGATGTCCGACGGCTCATCCTGTGCGGCTGCCTGCGAGAGACGCACCCCCGAGCTGCAGGGCAAGGTTGAGGGTTCCGGGTTCAGGGTTTAGGGTGTAGGGTTTAGGGATGTTAGGGCTTAGGATTTAGGGTTTAAGGTTTAGGGTTTAGGGTTTAGGGTTTAGGGTTTAGGGTTTCGGGTTTAGAGTGGGTTTTTGGATTTCGTGTCTTGGCTATAGGGATGAAGGTTGAATAAGGCCGAGAGACCATGGGCCCAAAAGCCCTGAACCCTACAGTAAACCCTCACGGCCCTGGCCTGCGGAACCCTAAAACCCTACAGCCGAAAACCCTAGAACCCTCACACCTAAGCCTGCATCGATGGGCCACCAAAGCACCTTTACTCAACCTCAACGCAAGGAGGGCTTTAGGGTTTTGAGGGTCTAGACGGTTTAGAGAGTTTGGAGGTTTTAGAGGGTTTAGAGGGTCTAGAGGGTTTTCAGAGCTTAGAGGGTTTAGAGGGTATATGAGGTTGAGAGGGGGATTGAGGAAGTGGTAGGTTAAGGGAATAGGGCTCCAGCGGGCTTCATGGGGTTGCGGGGTTTAGAGGGTTTAGAACCCAGTTTCAGAACCCGACTTCTCTTCAATGCTTGAAAACTCGGGTGAGATCCTAAACCCTAAACCCTAAACCCTAAACCCTAAACCCTAAACCCATTTGCATTCTGGACTTGGAGGTTGCCACATCGGACCCAGGTGGTTTGCAGAATGCAGCTTTGAGGCCGTCTTAGTTGTCCAGTAACCTGGGGGAATTTAAGGTTAACCTTTGGGATTCTAAGGGGGTTATACTACCCCAAAAAGGTTAAAGGCTACCTACTCTACTACTAGGCCGTTGGTTTTGGGAGGCTTTGGGGGCCTGTAGGAAAAGTTAAAGATGACTTTAGGGCTTAGGCCTTAGGGGCTTGCCAGTCCACTCCTTCAGCATTTCTGGTCTAGAGTTTTGCTTTTGGGCTTCTCGAGCACCCAACCATGAACATGCTTCATCCAGTCCGCTGACACCACAGGAAACCTCAGAGTCTCTTGAAGCCTCGGCAAGACAACGAAGTCTGCAAACGCTACTAGAGCCGAACCCTCAACCCTGAACCCCTGAACTCCTGGCCCCGAAGCCCTCAACCCCTAAACACTGAAGCCCTAACCCTGAACCCCTCAACACAAAGGGAAATGGCCTGCCATCCACTGATCACCCTGTGCAGAGGACGGAGAAATGCTTTCAGCTAGGGCTGGTTCTTACAAGCCGGCATCAGTACAAATTAGGGTAAGGGTTTAGGGTTTAGGGTTTAAGGTCTTGTGATGGAAAGCATACCCTGAAGAAAGGGTCGCCTTAAACCATACACTTCCCTTAAACAATCCCCAAACCCCGGTTTCGGGTTTAGGGTTTGCGGCTTCGGGTTTACAACCTCAAGGCAGATATTGCTGGAGATTCGGGAGCTTCTTCTAAACAAAATCTCGACATGCGAGGCTTAAACTTCGTTGAGTCGCATCTTTGTAAAGCCTAAGCCCGATCAGCGTATTGTCGGAAGTGGCCGTACACTTTAGGGATCCCAGTAGGGGGCTTTATGGGTTTGGAGATGTATGGCTCATCGAAGTCCTGATACACAGGGTCAAGATTCGTCAGCAAACCGCCCGATCCCCCAAATCCTAGACCCTAAACCCTAAACCCTAAACCCTAAACCCTAAACCCTAAACCCCCTCGGGTTCAGGGCACAAGGTTGACAATCGGCCAAACTCGTAAGAAGATCCACGCTCGCATGCTGAGTGCGGGGCGACAGGAGGACCCAGATTAGGCCCCTCCTGGCTCGGCCGCAGGTTCAGGGGTGGAAAAAGGGAAAAGCCTTCCAGGCAGGCTTTGGTCGCGAAACTTCCGGGTAAGACCTAACCCTAAACCCTAGGCCCACCAGAATGCCAGGCGGCAGTCTGGAAATCTCAGCCTTACCCATGTCGAACCGATGTCAACAATCGAGACCCTTACCTAATGGTTTAAGTAGGGTCTTTAGGGTTTAGAGTTTAGATAGGGTTTAGGATTTAGGGTTTAGGGTTTAGTTGTGCCTGCACAGGAAACCACTTAGAGGGGAAAGCGACAGCCCGACCGACGTGTGTGGGAGCCGGGCCTTTTAGTTTAGGGTTTACGGTCTAAGGGTTTAGGGTTGCGGTCTAGGGATTAGGGTTTAGGATTTCGGTTAAGGTCATGGAGACCTCTAGGAAGCTGGCCACCCCAAAGTAGAAACACAAGCTCAAGGCCCTGAACCCAAACAACAACTTCGAACGCACCTTCGTGACGTTGATGAGCACATGAGTCATCCATGGGTCCCAAGCGCAAGGATTGCAAGCGTTCAAAGTCCGTGATGGGGCGATGGTTCTGTTCCTGACTACGTTTCGCTGGCTCACACAAACGATGTAGGTGATAATTTCGAGGCTTACAGCCATGGAGTTTTGTCTACATGGCTCAAAGCTTTGGCTAAAGAATCTGCTTTTTTAGAGCCGCTTACGGCTGCAGTGGCCAGAGACCTGTGACCAGCTGCACAAAAACAACTGTAAATGCTTTTTCAGATTCTTCTTGTTGATGAATCAAGGCATACTTCCAAGACAGCGACAGCGACACATAGCGAATGGGGAGTCAGAGTCACAGTACAAACTTGGCGTGCTTTGACTTTAACTTGCCTCATGTTTCGTTCATTCCTGGATATGCGGAGCAACTCACGAAGCGCTGCAGCGTCCCCATTTGGCGCGCTCCGATGACCCCGACAATGCGTCTGCGTCTTGAAACGGCAAACGGCAATCGGCTCAGTGGCTTCCCTCGGGTCGTCCTCCTTTAGAACTGAACGTGTAAGGTTAGGGCTTGATCAGGGTTACCCCAAAGCTCTTGGGCCCTCAACACCCTAGGAATTGAGACCCCAGAACCCTCCTTAGGAGGTACCAGTCCCTCTGTAGGAGGGTCCATGGAGCCTTAGGGTACTTTGGTTGCTCTCACGTTACAAGTCATGTGTGGACACTCCTCCCTTTCCTTTTTGCGTGATGCTATGCTCCGCGCAGCTCCACTCTCTTTCTCACAGATGTCTCTGAAGCGCAGAGGAGGCAGCTAGTTGGAACCCTAAGCCTTAAGCCCTGAGCCCTCAGCCCTAAGCCCTAAGCCCCAAGCCCTAAGCCCTAAACCCTACTGTGTTTGCCTCCGTTTGTTCCTGCTGTCTTCTTGCCCTGGCGGCCGTATGCTCCCAAGAACCCCAAAAATCTTCAAGCACGAGCGGTTCAGAGAGGCAGTCCTAGGGTAGGGTTTAGGGTTTCGGGTTTAGGGTTTACAGTAGGGTTTAGGGTTTAGGGTTTAGGGCTCAGGGTTTAGGGTTTAGGGTTTAGGGCTTAGGGCTTAGGGCTTAGGGTTTAGGGTTTAGGGTTTAGGGTTTAGGGTTTAGGGTTTAGGGTTTAGGCTCCCACAAGGGTTAAGCTTAGGGTTTCGGGTTCCGGGTTTAGGGTCAGGTTTGGGATTTAGGGTTTGGGGTTTGGGGCTTTCCACACCGCGTAAAATCATGGACCATAGGCGGTTTCGCACAGGGCATAGGGGCTCTCTTCAAAAAAAAGCCACAAATCCCACCCCCCCCCCCCCCCCCCCCCCCCCCCCCAACGTCCCTCCCTACCCCCCCCCCCCCACCCCAGACCCGAACCGCAAACCCAATCCACCAAACCCCAAACCTTAAACTTGTTCTCCTGCGGGGTCGGAGGCTCTTAAATTTGGGGTTTGGGGTTTGGGGTTTGGGGTTTGGGGTTTGGGGTTTGGGGTGGGGTTTGGGGTTTGGGGGTTCAGGGTTGTGCGCGGGTTGTAAAGGGTCGGGTTAGCTTGCGGCACGGCACCGGGCCATTTTGGATGCTGGCGATGCCCTGTCTTCGGTCGGTAATTGCGAATGGGCTACAAAATTGCTCACACCGCTGGCAAGGTTTCTTGGGCAGCAGTTGCAAGAGATCAAAAAAGGCCAACACGTGCAACAACACCCCTCAGTTTAAATGCAAATGTCCGCAATCCCCTTTGACACGCTGACTGTACAGGACTATACAGGCGTAGCTGGGAAGCACCCTCAGCAACGAAACAGCAGCACTTCGCGCGTTTTGGGAAGCAAAACGGCTCAAGCAGACGTAGCGCGAGTCAGAGCTATGAAGCGAATTAAAGCAATTGAAGCAACAGTTTGCAGAACTCTGCGCTGTCCTTCCACCTACAAGGTGAACCCTAAACCCAAAACCCTAAACCCTAAACCCTAAACCCTAAAGATGACTTAAGATGTGTGAACCTCACAGTTCCGAGGTCAGGCTTTCCAACTCCACCGGAAAGCCTCGCGCGCGGAGCGAGCGTACCGTCGACTCAACCGCAGAGAGCATGCCTAGGGTAGTTTTGGGGGCCCTGGGACCTGGGATAAACTGAACCCTTCTCGCTTGATAAGGGATTCCAGGGTAGCAGAAAGAGTAAAAACGATGTTCAAACCTAGACCTGACACGGCGTGGACCGCACACCTGGACTTCCAGGGGTGCCGACGGTGCCGACCCCGCCTCCTGCTCCAGCAGCGCCCAGAGGTCCAACTTCCGGTGCTGGATGCTGAGAGGTCTCTCCTGAGCGTTTTCGGTGGCCCAGGGAGAGAAACACTTCTTGGGCTACTTCGGGAACCCAGAACCCCAAAAAAGTATTATAACAACATAGACAAATAAATAAATAGAAGTAAATAATTCCATAATGTAATCCGCCGACCCCAGCCGGGGGCGGCGTCAGTGAAGACCCAATGCTCCTCTACCCCACCCCCCCCATGGACTGGCCCCATTAAAGCATGCCCGCTTCGTTTGCTGGCCCCTAGTGGCTCATGGCCCCATCATGGTCCCCTGATCAGATGATTTAAAGGGCTCCAATCCTCTCTTGCTCCGCTTGCCCCACCCCCCCCAACCCCCCCCCAACCCCCCACCGCCCACCCCCCTTACCCCCCCTACGCCCCCCCGAACCTCCCGCCCCAGTCCCCCCCAACCCGTCCCCACCTACTCCCCCCAAGTCCCCCCCCCCCCCCCCCCCCCACCCCCCACCCGCCCCAGCCCCCCTACCCCCGCCCCCCCCCACCCCCACCCCGTCCCACCTACCCTCCATGCCCTTGAAGCTAATTCTTAAGACCTCCAGTCCATGCCCGCGCCCCCTCCGTTTTCCCCGCCCGCTCCGCCCCCCCCCCCCCCCCCCCCACCCCACCCCCCCCCACAAGCCCCCCCACCCCGCCCCCCAACCCATCACCCCTTCTGGCCCCCAACCCCCATGATCCCCATGGACTGGCCCCCATTAGATGATTCAAAGGGCTCCAGTGCATGCCCCCGCTTGCTCCTCTTGCTCCGCTTGCCCCCCCCCCACCCCCCACCCCCCCACCCCACCACCCCCCCACCCCCCCCTGTGCCCCATGCCCTTGAAGCTACTTAAGGGCTCCAGTGCATGCCCGCGCCCCCTCCGTTTTCCGCCCACCCCCACCCCCCCCCCCCCCCCCCCCCCCCCCCCCCCCACCCCCCCCCCCCCCCCCCCCCACCCCCCCCCCCACCCCCGCCCCCCACCCCACCCCCCCCCCCCCAACCCCCCACCCCCCCCACCCACCCCCCCCCACCCCAAAGCACATCAGAGGACTGTCTTGTTGGGTCTGGGGTCGGCGGCACTGGCGGTAGCCATTAATAATAACAGAGTAACAATAATAGTAAGAAAAAGAAGAAGAAGAAAGTGTACTGCTGAACAGCTTCGTCTCTCCATGCACACCCTCTGCCATGCCGAGGGATATCGGGGCAGGTCCGCTTTGCGAGTCGTGGCCTCGGTTTCGCACAAGCAACCCTAAACCCTAAACCCTAAACCCTAAACCCTAAACCCTTTGCTGGCCTCGGATTCGCACAAGTTTTGCCACCAGCAGCAGGGCCAGGATCAGCAGCAGGACGGCAAAGGCGACAATTAACCTTATTGCTGCCGTTGAAAGATTCAACATGGCATGGTCTGCTAAGCATATCAAGAATATGTAATATAGGATATAGGTCATTATATAATATAGGTCAACAAATAGGTCAAGAAACAGCACAATTTGCGTAGGACATAGGACATATTCACATGGTCAAGGGACAGGGGCATGAGTCGAAATAGCAGGGCATACTCTGTCAGACTGCTTGCCATGGGCCGCGCCCTGCTGAGCCACTGGCGCACCATGACATCAGAGGCCAGCGCACCCATCACGATGAGCGCCGAGGAGAGGGCGACGGGCACCTGCTTAGGGGCCCAAAAAAGGTTTGCCTTTTTTATACATGGTAGGACTCTGTGTACCCAAAAAGGTTAAAGGTCACCTGCCCAGTAACCCTAAACCCTAAACCCTAAACGCTAAACCCTAATACCCAAAACCCCTTAGCCTTCTTCGGGAGGTGCTTTGGGGTCTCGCTCTCTGGCCCGATTCGTGCGACCCGGCTGTTGATCCAAACGTCGGCTTCCACCAGTTCTTCGGACGTGATAAAGATCGAAATGTCAGCTTTCCGGCGCAGGGCCTGGAGGTCCACCGGGCTTAGGGTTTAGGGTTTAGGGTTTAGGGTTTAGGGTTTAGGGTTTAGGGTTTAGGGTTTAGGGTTTAGGGCTTAGGGTTTAGGGTTTAGGGTTTAGGGTTTAGGGTTTAGGGCGGCCTGGAGGTCCACCGCTGCCGCAAGCCCGCAGTACTCCTCACCCCGCACGGCCCACACCAGCTTGATCTCCTGCCACCGGCCGCGGAGATCCTTTAGGTTGTACAAGAGGTCAAGAAATGGAGAGATGCCCACACCTTGGGATGTTCCACCTTTTCCCAACAAGTCCTTAAAAGGGATTCTAGTACCCTCGAGAATAATCCCTATGAAGAACTGTTAGTTCTTGGGGGAGCATCCCAACCCACACCTCCTGCCACCAGCAGCAGAGTGCAGGGCTCTGCATTTCGCGGCCTCCGAGGCTTGCCATATGGGCCTTCGATCCCCAGTCGCAGAGTCACGCCGGAACCGACCACATCACCAAGTGATCCGGACCAGTCACCCATGCATTTCAGTAGAACATGGGCGCAGTTCCCACAAAGGATGGTGGAGTAGGGGTGCCACTGGAGTCGGGAGATGCTTTTCTCCTGCAAATAGACCCATCGGGAGCCCGGCATCAGCTGCGACGCTTCCTGCTCCGCAGAATGCCACGACAGCAGAAGCAACGTTGCGGCATCACTGCGAGACACGACCTGGGGGGGTTTCCGAAAAAAGGGGTACCCTTTTTGGGGGTCCCTCTAACAGGGTTCTATTCTATATGGGGTTCAACAAAGGGGTACCCCCATTTTGGGAGATACCCACCTCGACTGCTACCTCCACGTGTTGTCTGGTGGCCACTGTCCTGTCTTTTGCGTACAGCACCACGCCTGGAAACATCAGAATCACCATCTGAAAGTCGTGGAGGCCGCAGAAAAGGACAAACACAAAGGCTCCGACCAGGTGGGCGTAGTAGAACACGTCGTAGAAGCGGCGCCGAACCTGCTCGCGCGAGAGGGCCCCCAAGATGATCACTGCTGTCGTAGCAACCACACCAAAGCCGTTCACAAGCCCGAGAGTGTTCCAGCAGGAGCGCGCTGTCGGATCGTCGCATGTTAGGCTCACTGGGAGACATGCCTCCCCGAGCTCGCGCAGGCCACCCTCCCGGAGGTAGAAGACAACAAAAGCGATCGAGTGAATCAGGCTCATTGCGACAACCCACCAGCCGACCACACGGTGAAAAGCGATCGTCATCGGATAGTCCAGGCCATGCCACTCCGCGAGGACTGAACGCCTGGAGATCACCAGCAACATCATGCTAAGGTACACCGCGGCCGCCCTCCCTGTTATGATACCGCCGAACTCCAGGGCATCACTCATCGTGGCCACGCAGGCTTTCAGGATGCCAGCTGCCAACGTGACGAAGCCTAAGCTGTGAGGCAGGATGTCCCATCGGAGGTGTGGGGCGGTCAGCGCTGTATGTGGCACCAGACCCATGCACAGCACCAGGCACATAACCAAGCTAAGGCTGGACAGATAGGCTGGCAGGTGCTCCAAGTGTTGACAGGCAAACAAGGCCATTGCGACTTCAGACTCGTCTACCAGCTTGCACGGAGCAGCCACATACGAGATGACCAGACTCCACCAAATTGCAGCAAGCATGGCCAGCCAGAAAGAACCCCAGCGCCGTTGACATCGCTGCAGATCCACCATCTTCCGAGAACCCTAAACCCTAAACCCTAACCTAAACCCTAAACCCTAAACCCAAGGGGCGCAAGGAGGTTTAGGGCCTTCTGTAGGCAGCTCCGCTCTTGGTTTTTAAGAGGCAAAGCCAAAAGCAACGACTTCGCCCATCCTTCCCACCCCGCCCCCAGTAGTTGCAAGCAATTCAGCGAACAGGGGGAGAACCGAAAGCATAGTCCTACATGCCTGAACCCTCAACCCTCAAAATCTACGCCCTGAGCCCTAAACCCCCAGCCCCGAGCTACAAGATTTGCGGGCTTTAGGGGCAAAACCGGGCCACAAAGTCTTTGTTGGGGGCTTGCCCTGCCTAGGTATGCTAGTTCTCTTTCTTGGGGTTTAGGGTTTAGCTCTTTACGCTTTGAAACAGCTTAACAAAGTGAAATTAGCAGGCCTGCCCCTGTTGCACACACAGTGTGATGGATTGGCAAGCTGGGGGGGGGAGGTGTTAAAACAAGGGGGTGGCTTAGGTGGGGGCGGGGGGTGGCCGGGGGGGGGGGGGGGGGAGGTTACAGTCAAGGGTTTAGGTTTCGGGTTTAGTCGGTTTCGTGTCTCTGTGATTGACCCCTGCAACTGACACAGCACCACAATCCTTCAGCAACAACACGTGCTCTTTTCGACCCCCCCGAAACCCTAAAAAGCCAACAATTACCTAAACCCAAACCCTAAATTTGAAACCCTAAACCCTAAACCCTGCATGATCCTTCACCCCTCACCCCTTAAACCCCAGGGCTCTCGATAAATCACGGTTTTGCGGTGGAGGATTTGCAAGTTCATATAGGGTTTATGCTTTCGGGAAAGTCCGAGGAACCATCCGACCCTAAGATGCTACGAAAATCAGGGATAAACCCTTAATATGGGATTAAATAACCTTAAGGACCGCAATAAGGTACCCCTAAATTCGGAAACCCCCTTTTCTCTTCATGGACAAGCCAGGCCAGGACTGTGAGAAAAGGTCATGGATCAAGCTGTCGGTGAAGGGGTTAGGCCCGGTTTAGGCGTTTTATCAGTTTGGGGTTGGGGTTGAGGCGGTTCGATGATGTTGATGGTCTTAGTCATGACCATCACGGTGCTGGCGATAAGCCCCAGCTACTCCGTAGACTCAGTTGAGGACGGAGAGGAGTCTCTGTCACTTTCTGTCTCCATTCGCGTCGGAGTGCCCAAGGGCTCTTTGCCTCGACTTTTTTGGAATCACGAGCCGGCAGAAGTCGCATTTATGAGCTTCATGGCGTGGGTTTAATGAAGTTATTCAGGGTTCAGGTTCGGGGAGGAAAGTTTCGGGAAAAGTGTTGAGGAGTTTCGTTGTTGACTTTTGAATAATTTCAAGTTACAGGGGCTTGAGGGTTTAGGGCTTAGGTGTAGGGTTTAGGGTTTAGTGTTTAGGGTTTAGGGTTTGGGTTTAGGGTTTAGGGTTTAGGGTTTTAGGGTTTAGGGGTTAGGGCAAACGATTGAGGTTTTGAGCTTTGGGTTCTGGCTTGAAGTCTTCAGGCAAAGCTTCAACGTTGCATACACTTTGCCCTAGAGCTCCAGCAAAATCAATAATGGGTTGTGGGTCATAGCTCTTGCTTAGTAACCTACTATTAGGGTAGCTACATTAGTACAGGCCTCAAAAGATCAAAAGAGGGGACCCCTTACATACCCCTTATATACCCCACACAACCCAAGGGCCCAAACTTCAGAACCCTTTGAAGAAGCTAAGGACCATGTGAAGGGCCCCTGTCACTACCCTTAGAATTTGGGTTTCTGGAAACCCAAGAAGGGTTGACTAGCACGAAGGAAGAAGGTGTACGAATCACATCGCGGACAACCACAGAACCACACTTTCGAACGCGAGCCCCAGTTTTCGGTTTGGGAGATCCTAGAGAACCCTAAACCCTGAACCCTAGACCCGAAACCCTGAACCCTAAACCCTGAACCCTAAACCCTAAACCCTAAACCCTAAAGAACGGAAACCCTCACCCAGCAAAACGTCAGCTTCTGACCGTGCTGCTGGCCAAGAAGTGCGGCGAAAAGCAGCAGCCTCGAGGCTCGGGTTTAGGGTTTAGGGTTTGGGGTTTGGGGTTTTAGGTTTAGGGTTTAGGGTTTAGGGTTTAGGGTTTTGGGTTTTAGGGTTTAGGGTTTAGGGTTTAGGCTGCTTCCTACGGGCGCCCCAGACTGTGCACTATTAGGGTTAAGCCTGAGGTCCGAAACCCAAACCCTAATCGGGTGTGGTCTTCAAGTTTGGGCCCTAAACCTAAACCCTAAACCCTAAACCCTAAACCCTAAACCCAATGTTTTGGGGTTGGGGCCTCAGCCGTTCGAAGGAGGCTCCATGTATGCTGCAAGATGACGGAGGTTTAGGCTTTAGGGTTTAGGGTTGAGGGCTCAGATTGAATGCACACTGAAATTCTCAAGCACAACCTCCCAATAACCGGTTGCCCGAGAAGTCAGCTTTGCGCACCATGAAGGGCGCAGTGACGCCCAATGTTTCTGAAGACTGCCTTCGTACGTCTTTGCAACACCAGTCCCCAGCAGACTTTAGGAAACAATCCCTAAACCCTAAACCTTAAACTCTCTCGGACCGCACCCACTTGAGTCTAATCCCAGCCCGAAACCCGCACCCTTTGGCCCCTTGCATCATACATGAACGCTTCTGCCTCTTCCTCGGCCCAGGAATAGCTGGAGCAAGACAGTGCCACAAAGGGGCAGAGATGCGAGCCGTTTCATGCCAAGACCTCAGATAGGGTGCTCAGTTTTCGGGCAGGCTTTTTGGCCAGACTATATTTTATAGGGAAATGCTAGCATAATACGAGCTAGTCAACCCCTGTTTAAAGAATATCGTGAAGGCGTCGTTTTTTTTTCACCAATAGGAAATGCTAGCTCAGTCCAACTAGTGGGGCTCAGAGAGTGTTTCATAGAAAGATCAGGACGTGGTCTCAATAGCTCAACACGGCAGCAGAAAACCTTTCTGTTCTCGCGCCCATGGCACAGCTGATGTTTCTTAGCACTGAAACCCTCAACGATAGGGAAACCGAATCAATATTATTGATTCCTGAACCCTCAACCCTAAAGATTTAAAGAACAATTCGGCCAGGTCCGGGTTCGGGTCCGGGTCCGGGTCCGCTGGGTCGGGTCCGGGTCGCGGTCCGGGTCTTAGAAGAAAGTTTGAACAATATTTTAAAACCATCACGCGCTCATTGTGTTTGCAAATGGGGGGGGGGGGGGGGCTGCCCCCCCCCCCCCAACCCTTGCGCTTTTTTTAAGCGCGCTTGCTTCAAAGCATTTTTGAATCTGTTTTACACCCACCAGGCGATCGTTGAGTTCGAAAGTGGTGGGGCTGCGATCATTGTGTTCGCAAATGGGGAGGGGGGGGGGGCTGCGCCCCCCCCAAACCCCCCGCTTGTTAAGCTGTGCAAGCCTGAATCTTTTTTTAACCCTTAACCCGAAACGCCCATGGCGTGCAAGGCCAAAAGTCCTAAACCCCACAGCCTCAAGTGCAAGGCCAATACACCTCTACCTTTAAAACCCATACATAATAAATAAAATAGAATACAAATATAAAAATAAAACAATTTCAATATTTTATAATACAATATCATACAATATAATAAAATAAAATATTATATTATATTGTATTAGATTATAATTATTTGGAATTTTATATCTTTTTACAGGTCCAATTTCGGGTCCGGGCAAAGGTCCGGGTCCGGGTCCGGGTCCGGGTTCGCAGGTCCGGGTCCGGGTCCGGGTCGCCGGGTCCGGGTCCGAGGGGGGGAGGGGGGGGGGGGGGGAAAAGGACGTTGAAGCGCGAGAAAAACGATATTATGGCATCGGGCGATGCTGCATGGGGGCTTATAGAGGACAGTTAGAATAAGGTATAGTGGAATTAGAATCTTCACAGCAACACCCCGACAGGAATAGTATTTATTACAAACGAATTGCACTCAGTGTGGTTTATACCCTAAACCCCAAACCCTAAGCCCTAAACCCACTGCCAGAGCAAGCCAGTCGCAGGCAAGTGCGAGCATGCTCGTGTAAGCGGCCAGGGGCACAGCAAACCATGCTCGATACTGCGCAACCTTTCTGGGTTGAGTCTCCCACACTCCAATAATGGGACAGCAGACAATCAGGTAGACTGCCACAATCTTCGACATCATCTTCAAGATAAAGCACCTTTCGTCGCGAGGCCTCTGCCACAGAAGGAGCAGAAGGCCAAGACGTGCCGCAACGGTGGCGCTGTGGATGAGCACGAGGGGGACAGATCCTAGGACAACATTGTGGCGCAGGTACACGAAGCAGCAGTATATGGACCACAAGGCAACGCAGGTCAGGGGCACAAGGGCAACGAAAGGAAGAGCAATCTCGGCGTGACCCGCGCCTCGAATATCCACCCCGCGACGTGCAATCTCCCGAAGCCTTGGCGATGACATCCCCGCAGTTAGAAGCACATGGATGGCATAGTCGACATCGGCGGTTTTCTGGCCAATCTCAGCGAAAATGCGTTCTGCATCCGCTTGCTTGGAACATGTGGCCTGCACGATGCTGCCCGTGAACCCGCAACTCAGATGTTTGGCTTCTTGCATTTTGGCAACACCGTTGACGCGGTCCACCTCCAGCAATAAGAAGAAAGTCAAACCAGCGACAAGGAGCAAACGCTGCTCCACAAAGGCAATGAAAGGAGGCACCACAGCAACACCGTCATCATCAGGGTCGAACTCTACCGTTCGCCAATCCATGAAGATGATGCCAACGGCCGAAGCGCCGATCCTGTTCAAGAGCTTGCGACAGCCATCGTGGTTGATGTTGGCGCTGATACATGCGGCGGCCACCACGACATACAAGGGAATCGGCTGGAGCTTGATGTGTCGCGAACAAAAGCCTGAAGTGTCGTGAGAGCGGCTCATCCCACGCACGCTTTAACTGGCACATCTTGAATGCTACATCAACACTGATAAACCCTAAACCCTAAACTCTAAACCCTAAACCCTAAACCCTCAACCCTAAACCCTAAACCCTCGAACCAAACCCTGCTGATTTAAAGCATCCAGGCGCCAGATATCATGCCCAGGAGTCCTGAAGGGAAGCCCGCACTCCAAGATGTATCAATACAGGTAATGGAGTTTCGGACAGCATATTTAGGGTTTAGGGTTTAGGGTTTAGGGTTTAGGGTTTAGGGTTTAGGGTTTAGGGTTTAGGGTTTAGGGTTTAGGATTTAGGGTTACCCACCTTGTGACAAGCCCTATGCACAGGCGAAAACACGTCGATGTTGCTGTTCCCTGCTCTACCTGTGAAGTTGCTCAATTAGAAAATAAGGATTTGTAGGAGCTTAGAAGTTTCAGGTGTGAGGGTATCCCTAAACCCTAAACCCTAGGCCCCAAGCCCCAAACGCTACACCCTGACCCCTAGATCATGCCGAAGCAAAGCCCTGCACCCCAAGACTACAAAGCGCAAGCCTGCACTTGTTGGGAGTACCTAGCGAACCCGGTGACCCTATTGCAGGGTCCACTCATCGGGCTGTGAATACTTCCGCAGGGTAGTCGTAGTAGCAGTAGCAGTAGCAGTAGCAGTAGCAGTAGCATTGGCAATAGCAGTAGCAGTAGCAGTAGCAGTAGCAGTAGCAGTAGCAGTAGCAGTAGTAGTAGTAGTAGTAGTAGTAGTAGTAGTAGTAGTAGTAGTAGTAGTAGTAGTAGTAGTAGTAGTAGTAGTAGTAGTAGTAGTAGTAGTAGTAGTAGTAGTAGTAGTAGTAGTAGTAGTAGTAGTAGTAGTAGTAGTAGTAGTAGTAGTAGTAGTAGTAGTAGTAGTAGTAGTAGTAGTAGTAGTAGTAGTCGTCGTTGTCTTGTGGTATATTCTACTAATGTTGAAATCTTGGTGGTCTTGCTCGGCATTGCGACCCCTGTGCTTGCTAGGAGTTTAGTAATGTAGCATGTATTTGTTCTTCTGTATTGCAAATGCCAACCGCTACTTGCGAGAGCAGCGCAAACCCGACCTAGTTCCTGCTTCTGAGGGCGGCGCGGGAACATGCCAACAAACAAAGAGTGCTGACAGTAGAACATGATGTGCATGGGCCCTCGGGCACGGGGGCAAAGGAGAAGCAGGCTGCAAGCAGGCTGGCTTGACTGACCCAATTCTGCTATATATATTCTAAACTCCCACAGCAAAGAACCGTCCAAAAACCCTAAACCCTAAACCCTAAACCCTAAACACAGGTGTGGGGGCTCCCCTGGAAGAACTTCGGTCCGAAGAAGTCCTGACATGCTGCCCCAGAAGATGGCAAGGAGCAGCTGCTTGTTGTTCGAAGCCTTGTGGGTTTAGGGTTTAGGGTTTCGGGTTTCGGGTTTAGGGTTAGGGTTTAGGGTTTAGGGTTTCGGGTTTAGGGGTTTAGGGGTTTAGGGGTTTAGGGGTTTAGGGGTTTAGGGGTTTAGGGGTTTAGGGGTTTAGGGGTTTAGGGGTTTAGGGGTTTAGGGTCTGGGGTTTAGGGGTTTAGGGGTTTAGGGGTTTAGGGGTTTAGGGGTTTAGGGGTTTAGGGGTTTAGGGGTTTAGGGGTTTAGGGGTTTAGGGTCTGGGCTTGGGGTTTGGGCTTTAGGGTTTAGGGTTTAGGGTTTAAGGTGTACTTCCCCGAAGTTGCAACTTTCAGAAAGAGAATATTACAGCAACTCTTAAATAAGAAGCAATAATCCCAGAACAAGCACCGAGGCTGCAGCACGAATCCCAACCCATAATGCCTACGGGACTGTGGCGGGAGCCGAACTTTTTGGGCACTATAATTCCTAACGAAACAGCAGAAGCTAGAATGTTGGCTAGGTTTCCAAGTTCAGTGTAAGCATCCCGCCTCACTCTCCCGCAGATTTGGACTTTAAACCGCTTGAGGATCCGACATCGAAGTCCTTCGCGGGGGTTTCGAAATCCTGGAAGACCACGCTCATCCCCGCAATGCGATGGCACTGTGGCGAGCACAAGACTTTCGCGAAATTTCTATACCCCGTAAACCCAAAACCCTAAACCCTAAACCCTAAACCCTAACCAAACCCTCGAAACTGCCGGATTTCGAGACCCCACGAAGGACTGTTGATGTGGGATCTTCGAGCGGTTTAAAATCCAAAATCTGCTGGAGAGTGAGGCTGGAGCACGATTTGCCTATACTGAACTTGGAACCCTAGCCAACGTTTAAACTTAGCTGTTTCTTAGGAGTTATATCTGTTTCTTAAGATTTAAAGTACCCAAAAGGACAATTTTTTCCCAAGTATCCCTAAGCAAAGACTGGCAAAAACACGATTCGTCAAATCGAGCTCCGCCAAGGTATTGCAACTTACAGCGCATCGACGCTTGCCCACCAAGGGGCTGCTGTTCCCCCTAAACCCTAAACCCTAAACCCGGAACCCGAAACCCTAAACCCGAAACCCTAAACACTGATGACGGCTTGGCGAAGCTTACGGCAGGAAACACCACCAACTTTGGAACTTAGCTTTTGCATCGTTTAGAGTTTAAGGTTCAGGGTTTAGGGTTTAGGGTTTAGGGTTTCGAGTTTAGAGTTTAAGGTTTGGGGTTCAGCGTTTAGGGTTTCAGTGTTTAGGGTTTAGAGCTTAGGGTAGGCTGAAGGTGATCCTCGGGCGTGACCCCACGGTTGTTGAAATGGGGCCGCTTCGTCGTTTACGGTGCGCAGCTGCGACTGCGGCTATGGCGGAGCTTAAGTTGGAGGTCGGAAGATCGGACGCAACAGAGCCATGTCAACCGCAAACTAACACTCCAAGGACATCAAGACCTTATACAACCACCAATTCAGCAACAACTGACTAAGTTACAGCTTCTTGGCACCCTAAACCCTAAACCCTAAATGCTAAACCTCAAACCCCAAATCCTAAACCCGAAACCCTAAACCCTATTTCCGTGGAGGCAAAGGCTGCACCTGCTGCAGTGGCTTCGTGAGTTTCAAGTGTATATTGGGATGTTCATGATTTTCCCCTTATACTAACAGTTCTTAAAAGGGATTAGGGTTTAGGCTTTACGGTTTAGGGCTTAGGGTTTAGGGTTTAGGGTTTAGGGTTTAGGGTTAGGGTACTAGAATCCCTACTAAGGACTGTTAGTATCAGGGGGAACATCCCAAAGCTTATAATTTTCCGGAGCTTCAACCTCGAAAACCCCCAACAAGGTGCCAAAGGCTTGGTATTGGAGAAATAAGTTTCTGTTTTGAGAACCGAGAAGGGTTTAGGATTTAAGGCTTAATGTTCAGGGTTTAGGGTTTAGGCTTTGGGGTTTAAGGTCCCTAAACCCTAAACCCTAAACCCTAAACCCTAAACCCTAAACCCTAAACCCCTAAACCCCTAAAAAGGTTTTGGGTTGGTTTAAGGTTTTGGGTTGAGGGTATTGAAGGGCCAAGAAGCTCTGGCAACAAAGATGGTCTTCTCCTCCTCGTGGGCACGGTAGGCTTCGTAGCCGCACCAGAGCCTGCCATAGAGAAATCGGATTCCAGGTGTATCGGTATAAAATGCAAATAACCAAATATGTAAAGATGAAGATAAACAATGCACATATATATGCATACATATATATATATATATATAGTTGCTCATATATTTATATCTATAGAATACACATATATATATATATATGCTCACCCCCCCCCAATGGACCCACCGCGGATGGCAGCCGAGTCCTAGCCAGATCAAGGCAAAAAACAACAAAACAAGAAACTAACAAAAACCAACAAACCAAAAAAATCCAAAAAACCAAAAAAACCAAAAAAACCAAAAAAACCATCTTTTCCAAAACTATGGGGCTGGGGCCTCCAAAAGATGGTTTTTTTGGTTTTCTCGAGAAAAAGATGGTTTTTTTGGTTCGAAACCATCTTTTTCTCGAGAAAAAGATGGTTTTTGAGCAGCCGCTCTTCTAAAAACCATCTTTTTCTCGAGAAAAAGATGGTTTTACCAGGACAAGACCTCCAAAAACCATCTTTTTCTCGAGAAAAAGATGGTTTTACCAGGACAAGACCTCCAAAAACCATCTTTTTCTCGAGAAAAAGATGGTTTTTCCAGGACAAGATCTCCAAAAACCATCTTTTTCTCGAGAAAAAGATGGTTTTTCGAAGAGCGGCTGCTCAAAAACCATCTTTTTCTCGAGAAAAAGATGGTTTCGAACCAAAAAAACCATCTTTTTCTCGAGAAAACCAAAAAAACCATCTCTTGAAGGCCCCAGCCCCATAGTTTTGGAAAAGATGGTTTTTTTGGTTTTTTTGGTTTTTTTTGGTTTTTTTGGTTTTTTTGGTTTTTTTGGTTTTCTCGAGAAAAAGATGGTTTTTTGGTTCGAAACCATCTTTTTCTCGAGAAAAAGATTGTTTTGAGCAACCATCCTTCGAAAAACCATCTTTTTCTCGAGAAAAAGATGGTTTTACCAGGACAAGACCTCCAAAAACCATCTTTTTCTCGAGAAAAAGATGGTTTTACCAGGACAAGACCTCCAAAAACCATTTTTTTCTCGAGAAAAAGATGGTTTTTCCAGGACAAGATCTCCAAAAACCATCTTTTTCTCGAGAAAAAGATGGTTTTTCGAAGAGCGGCTGCTCAAAAACCATCTTTTTCTCGAGAAAAAGATGGTTTCGAACCAAAAAAACCATCTTTTTCTCGAGAAAACCAAAAAAACCATCTTTTGGAGGCCCCAGCCCCATAGTTTTGGAAAAGATGGTTTTTTTGGTTTTTTTGGTTTTTTGGTTTTTTTGGTTTTTTTTGGTTTTCTCGAGAAAAAGATGGTTAAGTTTTAGGGGTTTAAGCCTCATGCACTACAGGGTTATAAGGTTCTAATCCTATAGGTATTGCCTTAACCTTTAACCCTAAACCTTTAACTTTAAACCCTGCAGGGTTAACCCCGTGAGAAATTTAGAGATAGACCCCGAAAAGACCCTAAACCTTCTTACAGGGTGTAATGGTTTAAAAACCGATAGGACATGTATACCTTCAGCGCCTGTAGGGTTCAAGCCTTTGAACGTGCTAGACCCCTATAGGGTGCTAAGGTTCTGACCCTAAAGGGTTTAGGATTAAGGCTTAAATGCCCTCTAGGTTTAAATGCCTAAGTCTTAAACCCCAAACCTTTAAACCTTCATCCTATGGGGTTTGAAGGTCAAGGGTTTAGGCTTGATTGCCGAGGGCTTTAGGGTCCTGACCCTAGAGGGTTTAGGGTTAAGGAATAGATGCGTAAACCTTAAACCCTTAAGGTTTAAACTCTATGGGCTTAGGGGGCTTAGGTTTTTTTAAACCCTAAGCCTTTAAACCTTCACACTACAGAGTTTAGAGGTGTTAAGGGTGACAAATTGATTACATACTTAGCTTTAAATGCCTGAATCTTAAACCCCAAACCTTTAAACCTTAACCCTATAGGGTTTAAAGGTTAAGGGCTTAGTGTTAATCGCTGTCTTAGGTTTAAATGTCTGAATCTTAAATTCTAAAACTTTATTTTTTACCTTATAGGGTTTAAAGGTTAAGGGTTTAGGTTGAATCGTCAGCTTGGATTTAAATGTCTAAGTAAAGAATCCTAAACCTTTAAATCTCATCCCTATGGGGTTTAAGGTTAAGGGTTCAATATGAACTGCCGGCATAGGTCTAAATACCTAAACCTTAAACTTAAACCCTAAACCTTTAAATATCTTAACCCTATAGGGTTTAAAGGTTAGAGGCTTAGCGTAAATTGCCGGAATAGGTTTAAATGCCTAAATCTTAAGCCCGAAACCTTTAAACCTTAGCCCAACAGGGTTTAAAGGTTAAGGGTTTAAAATTAGTTGCAGGCTTAATTAGGTTTAAATGCCTACATCTTATATCCTAAACCTTTAAAAATCTTAACCCTATAGGGTTTAAAGGTTAAGGGCTTGGCTACAGGTTTAAATGGCTAAATATTAAACCCTAAGCCTCTAAACTTTAACCCTACAGGGTTTAAAGGTTAAGGGTTTAAAATTAGTTGCAGGCTTAGGTTTAAATGCCTACATCTTAAACCCTAAACCTGTAAAAATCTCAACCCGATAGAATTTAAAGGTTAAGGGCTTAGCTTTAATTACCGGCATAGGTTCAAATGCCTAAATCTTAAACCCTTAACCTTTAAACCTTCACCCTACAGGGTTTAAAGGTTAAGGTCCTTTTTTTGCAGGCTTAGGTTTAAATGCCTAGATCTTAAATTATAAACAAAAGCCAACAGAAAGAAAAACCCTCCGTAGGTGTGTGAGAGGGTGAATTAAGGAATACAGTCAAAAATCCGGTCACCGGAAAATCACCAGACAGCATAGGTTTTATCGGTATTTGCGGTACTTTTGCAAAGATCAAGGCCCGCGGTGGGTCCATTGGGGGGGGTGACCATATATATATACGCACACATACGCGCAGGATGCCCGTAGCACGTTGAGGTTAGGGTTCAGGGTTCACGTTGCCTGGTGTAGATGCTGCAGTGGCGGTTGGGCACCACCAGAACGCACGTACAGGCCTGGAGTGCCCGCGCGAAGGGCGACCGGCTGGGAGATTGCAGATACGTTCCTATGTCCAGATTCTGCGGATTGGCCAGCATGCAGCACCAGACGTGTCGTGAACCTGCGGGCCAGGAATGCAACACCTTGGACAGGAACTCGAAGACACCCTCCTGCCAGGCATGGCTGATGAACAAGTCGCAGTCCAAGCCAGCCGGATGCAACATCAGGGCCCAGCTAACCTTGCCTACCGCATCCGTCACTGGCATGATGTACTGCGCATTCACGGTGTGGATGTTTGGCCCGTACTGATCGTCGGATGGCTCAAAAGGGTCACTGTCATCAAGAGGACGAATCTCCCCACACTGGATGGCACGCCAGACCTCCTGCCGCAAATGGAGCAGGTCTGACCTCGTCACACACCAGCGGTCGGGAGCCACGGTCTCATGTAGACCCAGGGCCTCCGGAGTTGTGTACCTCGATAACGACCGAGATCTCGCCATCGCGCTCTTGCGAAAGTCAGCTACGAAAGCGAGTTGCCACCTAGAGCTCTAGGGTTTAGGGTTTAGGGTTTAGGTTTAGGGTTTAGGGTTTAGGGTTTAGGGTTTTGGGTTTAAGGTTTAGGGTTTAGGGTTTAGGGTTTAGGGTTTAGGGTTTAGGGTTTAGGGTTAGGGTTCTTCTGCCACGACCCCAACTACCCTTTCATAGAGCCCTTTGGTTGGCGATAGCGGACATGTGCGGTAAACCCTAAAAGCCCCAAACCCCAAACCCTAAACCCTAAACCCTAAACCCTAAACCCTAAACCCTAAAAGCCCTAAGCCCTAAACACTAAAAACCCCGTGTCCTATAGCTGCCCCATACTTGCTTTAGATCTTCAGATTCTAAAATCTGCGCCTTCGCTGCCAAGCCAAATCTTCCGAATCACTGCAGGGTTTCGGGTTTAGGGCTTACGGTTTAATTGGGTTTAGGGTTAATTGGGTTTAGGGTTAATTGGGTTTAGGGTTTAGGGTTTAGGGTGTTTAGGGTTTAGGGTTTAGGGTTTATAGTTTGGGGTTTAGGGTTTAGGGTTATGAACAAAATTGTACTTCTTGCAGGCATCATAAACGACCAAGAACTATTCTTTAAACACCCATTGTAAATTGTGATTGCTTGCAAGGGTGCTTATCTGTGCTCCTTCTTCTTCTCTTCGCCATACTCTTCTGACCGGAAAGAAAATGCAGTAATTCATAGCAATGTATTTGTAGCATTAATTATTAAGAGTTGGAAGTGAAGATCCTCATCGACCCTTGAACCTTGTGCACCGCATGGGCCAAGCACAGGCGGGGCGGGGCGGCATGGGCAGGGCCTTCTTGGATGGGGTTTTAGAGTTTAGGTTTAGGATTTAGGGTTAGGGTTTAGGGCTTAGGGGTTTCTTAAGACTTAGGGTTTAGGGGTTTAGGGCTTGAGGGTTTCTGAATACTCAGGGTTTAAGGGCTTAAAGGTTTAAGGGTCTAAGGGTTTAAGGGTTTAAGGGTTTAAGGGTTTAAGGGTTTAAGGGTTTAAGGGTTTAAGGGTTTAAGGGTTTAAGGGTTTAAGGGTTTAAGGTGTAATAACTTGACAACCTTGTGGCCACACCCGACAGATCCCCGACAGAGGCCCTGCTTGGGCCTCTTGACCCTCTTCTGGGCGGTGGGTACGGGTAGTTCGCCTAAAACCTAAACCCTAAACCCTAAACCCTAAACCCTAAACCCCAAACCCTAAACCCTAAACCCTAAACCTTAGGTAGCCTGGAGTGGCGACCGCAGGGTCCTAGGACAACTTGTGGCAGCGGGTTACGTGGTTGCCGCCGAGCATCGGTTGACAATGAACTCACACGCAGCGATGTCTGATTTTTCTCAATTCATGGGCATGCTGTGGTGGCAGATATTGAATGCTACAGTTGAGCAACATCTGCATTACAGAACAAGGGCAACGCAAGTGGACAGACTTTGCCTCCACTGCGAAGGTTTTTTTTCACAAGGCATTGCCAAGAGGCTTCCAAGTCACTGCAACCATCTTCACTTCTCCGAGCTGATCACCTGCCGGGCCACAAGTATGCGCCCGGGTTCGCCCTTTCGGTACACAATTGAGGTGCTCAGGAGGCCGCATGCAAAGCTGAAACATGTTCCCGGTCCTAGGTCAACGGCAATCAAAAATGCTAGATGAGGATCTTGCGATAGTCAAACGTTTGCAGTTCAAAAGTCAGGGACAAAAACAAGCTTTCACTGTCATATATGAAGTACATGAAATCGAAACCACACACACACATGAAGCGGCTACGGAAATAATGCGAGCGATACCTACTGGCTGAAACCCTTGCGGAATACCAAATCTTGGCTATACGTTGAAGCCAGCTCTTGTATACACAGGATGCGGCAGACAAAACCACTGTTCACGTGCCAACTCCAAATGGAACGCGGGCCGTGTTTGCCCAATCGCTCCAAGTTGCCGTTTGGTATGCAGACACAAGACATGCAAAGCGAACAGTCAAGTGCCCCACCAGCCCAAAACGACACACTTAAGTGAACTTAAGTGTATAAGCCGATACAACGAGCTCTGCTCCAACCCATGGAGGACTTCAAATTGCCGAGGCGCTGGTGCGAAAGTGGGTCTTCTGCTGATTAAACAGGGACTATCACAACGGGCTGCATTCAGATGCACAGAGACTCAGTACATTCGGTACCTCGGGAAACGATAAAGAAGACCACCGTCTTATCTAAGGCGTTCTAGCTTGAGAGCGCCACGGGTTATGGTCCTTCAGTGCTGGGCTCCAAGCTTTCGTCATAGAATGCCTTGTTCATTGTTTACTAATACTGACAAGAAGCCGACACCGGCCGGTGCCGCGTTACTGCTTCTCGTTTTGCCTCTAATTTCAAGCCTACGGTGACGCCTCACGTTTGATAAGCCCCATACTTAAGATCTGCGCGCCCATCCGTTGTCCTGCATGCAAAAGAACCTTCTCACAGTGGTCCACAATGGCTCAATGTCCTGTGGAACACAACCGCCGAAGGCGCTGCGCTGCTTGAGCTGCGAGTTGAAGTTCCAGGTGTTGGGGTTTTGGTGTTTAGGGCTCTAGGGTTTGGGATTTAAGGTTCTTGGGATTTTAGGTTTAGGGTATTCTCGGCTTGGGAGTTGAAGGCTGCTTTTGCTCTTGAGCCCTCGCGTCACGCGCTCGCCCGCTCGAGGCTAGCCCAAATTCTGTATCCCCTATGGTCAACAGCAACTTTACCCCAATCCGGTTTGACATGTGTCTTGGCATACGACAAACCGTGGGGGGCTCCAAAGCAAATTTCAAAACGTCTCACCCTAGCTTCCTGCCCCACTCTCTCGACCCTAAGCCCGAACCCCCTACGTCCCGGAAGCCCATCTAAACTCACAACCCGCAACCCTGCCACCCTGACAGCTGACAACCCTGTCGCATCCTGTCGCTGTGGGAGGTGGTCACCAGCATCCGTTTAGGGTTTAGGGTTTAGCTAAACCCTAGGGTTTAGGGTTTAGGGTGAAAGGACACTGCCAGGTCCACAGCATGCAGGGCGATTACTTTGACATGATGACAGAGGCGGGCCAAGCTCCACCCTTCGGTTTTTTCCGGAACTTCTGTAACCCCTAAACTCTCATTAGCCTCCTCAGCGATTCTCTTTCACCTTTCCATGGTGCCCAAAGGGGATTGTTAAGACTACTTGTTTACAAAGGTATCAACTGAGTGCGAGTTTGAATGTAGGTTGGGCCCTGACCCGGGTGCTCTGCCAGCAGAGCGACAAGATGGCGCTCAAGGACTTCTTGGCAGCTCCCAAAGTGGAAGGAGACTCGACGTTAAAGCAGTTTGGATGCAGATCGCGTTGTTGCAAACAGGCGACGTGCTAGAAGGGATCTCGGCCAAACTTGACCGCAAATTCTTTCTCGGCAGGGTCACAGGAAAGGGAGGTATGGCGAGGGACATCCCAGCGAAGGTTGAGACGGGATGTGGCAGGGAGTGTGGTAGGGGCCTGCATCAGGCAAATCCAAGAAGCCATTGCAACAACCATGTTAGGGGAAGTGACATAAGCAGTGCCGGCTAGAGGAACGATCATCAGTCATAGCCTCCCCAAACACTTGAAAAAGCAGCAGTCCTAAAGCCATAAAACCTAAACCGATCCCGGGTCTTTATCTTCTTGTCCATAGCCATGCTATCTCCAGCCATAGCCTTGAAGAACTACATGAGAGGGAACGCAATGCATTGAACGTTAATGGAGTTCTGTGGCTCCAAGTGCCTCATCATAGAGGCATGAGGGCAAGCAAGCGCTCTTCCGCCCCCAGACAGAATGCTAAACCCTAAACCCTAAACCCTAAACCCTCAACCCTCAACCCTCAACTCTAAACCCTCAACCCTCAACCCTAAACCCTAAACTGGACTGCTTCCAGCAGAAACTGCCAAGGACGCCAGCTGCTGCGCGTGTTTTGCGGCCTTCTGTTGCGTGTGGTCACTGCTCAGTTGAAGGGGGTAAGACCTTTTGGAACTTGCCTTGGAGCTGGTCCCTCTTCCTTCGCCCCCCCCCCACCCAAAAAAAAAAAGCCTCGCAACTCAACACAAGCTCAGAACCTCAAGCCGAAGCCCCACGCCCGCTCGCCAAAGACCTGCCTCAAAGAGCCCCAGGTGCGCCTGGTGGAGCCCCACGACCTGCAACCGAATTGGCTTAGGGGGGGGGGGGGGAAACTGGGATTCTAAGCTTCACAAATTAGGGTTTAGGGTTTAGGGTTTAGGGTTTAGGGTTTAGGGTTTAGGGTTTAGGGTTTAGGGTTTAGGGTTTAGGGTTTAGTTCACAAACTTGTTGGGGCCAAGTTCAAGGTTCAAGCTTTGGATGGAAGCTCTACGGAAAGCGTTCCGCTGTCTGAGCAAGTACAGCAGAAGCACAGCAAAGCACCCCCGACTCTGCGACATCTCTCGCGAGCTTTTCCACTTTTGGGGGCACGGACGCCCCTGTGAAAGAGGTGAAACTGGCCACAACTTCTTGAGGATTTTAACCTTCGTGATGAAGCGATGGCGCACCCACGACTGGCCAAGCCAGTCATTCGTGGAATATGAAAGCCAGTGCACTCATTGGAGTCACGGCTCTTGAAAACCCAACCATCTTACTGCTTCAGCCACCACGTTCACGTTCCATCATCCCAAGGCTGAATTGCTCTTGAGGCACCTGCTGCGGAGGCAGCTGCTGCGGAGGCACCTGCTGCGGAGGCACCTGCTGCGGAGGCACCTGCTCTTGAGGCACCTCCTCTTGAGGCACCTGCTGCGGAGGAGCTCTGAAGCAGCGGAAGTGAATCGCAATCAAGATTATCAGCAAAGCCAGCGTCCAAGCGATCGATAGCCAAAGACTTGTCGTAGCCACATCCTTGAGTTCTCCGCCCACCCATGACCAGCCCAGAAAGCCCGTGAGATACAAAAGAATAGAAACCGCATAGTCCACTTGCCGGCTGGACGCAGCAGCAGCGAAGTGCTCCGTCAATTGCCAGGAACACTTCACCCCGAGCAGGAACCAGAGCAATGCGTAGCCAACGTCGTTAGCGATGAAGTGCGGGAGCTGTGCTGGCAGCGGCACGTTTGCCATGATCGCCGCCATCTTGGTGTCAATCGATATGCTGAAGAAAGCTAAAACCATGAGTAGGCAATAGGAAAAGGGAATGTCTGCCCCAGAGGCAAGAAGCTCTTGCTGAAGGGGCCCTCTGACATATTCAACGAACGCCTCCTCGCTCCCATACCACTGCCTGATCGAGGTATGGATGAACTTCCTGTCTGACTCCATGCGACACTTCGCGTCCTCCAAACGGAACTGCTGCAGATGCAGGAACAACTCGTTCTTCTCCCGCATGTACTTGCGGTTCTGGTGGCAGATGAATATGAAGGGAGTGGTCGCTATCAAATAGAACGTTCCACCCCATGGCAAACCCCAATTCAGCCAGACGACTGTAATGCACCCCGCTGCATGGATTCCCACAAGCCACAAAAGGCCTGAATTTCCACAAAAAGCAGCCG